TTAATTCTGATTCAGACATTTTTTCTTCTGGTGGCAAGTCTTGATTAATATTAATTAATAAAGACAACAAATCTTTTCCTTCCAATTTTTTTAATTGTGCTTGTTTTTGTCTTTCTCTAATTAGTTGTAAGGAAATTCTTTCAATAACTTTAACAGATTTAGTCATTTTTATATTTTCTTCAAATGGCAAAGATCTAAACCATCTGAGTTTATTTGAAATAACCATTAGCATGAAATTCTTGAATGTTAATTTAACATTAAAAAGTGCTTCATAAGCAGTTGCTAATTCATTCTCAGAACTAAGTGAATTAAATTCATATTGAAATCCTATTCATAATAAACAATGTATATATATATGAGCAATAATATATTGAGCTAATGTAAAAAAATATTTTAAAACTTACCAACTAAGCCAATAATATCTAATGTAGCTTTTGATACATATGAATTAATATTTGTAATTAGTTTTTCATCTTGATCACCAATCACATCATTCAACACATTATTCAATTTATTAGTAACATTGATAATTGTAGGGACCATTTCCTACAAATTGAATGTAATTAACAAAACATTCAATTTAAAATTAAAATAATATTTAATATTAATAACAATAATTACTTTCAAGTTTGTAAAAGAGAATGCTGGGTTCATCATTTTCCTTTGACGTTTGTGTTGATCACCTTCAGCAAACAAAATTCCATCTCCTAATATAAGTTTTAAATCTGTACTCAAATCTTTTGATTTAGTAAATTCATAAGAAGTGAATATTTGTGGATGGCTTTTAGGATCTGTTAAAAGTAGATATGGTTTGTTTAAAAATCCATGATATACAATTATTCCTCCATATTTCTTTTTCCAATCTAAATGAGGTTTTCCAACCTTTAATTTAATATTATATTTTATTTTTTATTATTTATGGAATAAAAATTTATTTTCCAGAAAAAAAAGTGTAAATTATTTACATCGGAATTCAGAATGGTTAAAATATTTCCAAACAAAAGACTTTTAGAAGGTGGTCCAGGTATTTTACATAATGGTGACAAGTAAAAAGGTTCAATTAAAGTTTTATAAATGAAAAAACTTATTGCACCTAAAATTATAGCAAGTAAATAAGCTATCAAATTATCGACCATTTTTTATAAATTTTTTAAGGAATTTTTGGAAGAAAAATTAAATTAGTAAGGTTTAAATACTAATAGTTTTTTAGTGTTGAGGATTCGTCGTACAAATTCATATATAATTTACAGTAATAGTCGATGCTTCTTTCATACAGTGAAAATAATCAGCAGGTACTATATGAATAAATTCACATGTGTGAAATTCAAATAGCCAATATTTAATTAATAACAGATTCAATGATTTATTAAAAAATCGTTTTTTACTTTTGAACTTCCATAATGTAATATGTTCGTTAACTTTTTATTTATTAATACAAATAAAACAATTTACTTGGTCACAATGTTTAAGCGTAAAACATTAAGACTCGGCCATTCGACAGCTTGCATCGTCAATTCCGTACACTATATTTTTTTGTTCCGTACATTTTTTATTTTTTAGTTTTTGTGAATTCTGAAAAGTTGAGCCAGTATGTACGATCTTCCATACAGAGCATTTACTACAGAGGCGCAGATGTACGAAATACAGAACTTGTATATACTCGAACTTACTTGTTTTAGTTGATTTATTGTTTATAAATGGTCTGCATTGTAGGTCATGAGTTTGGATGTAATAATTACATAATAATAAAAATTAATTCGGAAAAATACTTGAGCCAAATGTTTTACTCGTTTAACCGGATTTCCTCTTGACTCTATTTTTAGTTTTACATATTAGGTGTATCAAATGTCTAATAAAAATACTCGCGTGACTTTCATTGGAGCTAATGAATTGAAAATCTAATCTAATATGAAATTGAAATTGAGTGTGGGGTTTGTGTTGCATTAATATTAAAGATTAAGTGGTATATCGTACAAGAATTAGAGAAGCAATTTTGTTATTCTTCAGTTTGATATGCCCCCATTCATGTACTCACTAAGATTATATTCCAACACATAGTTCCAGCTAATTCAGATTCTGGCTTAAAATTATTTAAAGAGCTTCAACAAGATCATTAAGGAAACTGGATGACCACAAGATTCTTGTATAATCTTATCGTGAAAATAGATAGGAACACCACCTTTTGGGTTGAAACATTTTTATATAAACAGAAAAGAGAAAAGCATACCCATCTCTTCAACATTGAATGGTTCCATTTTAATGGTGAATTAAGTTCGTCACCTCTATCAAATCCATGAGCTTAAAGGTATCTATACCAATATAAATTAGATTCTCGAAAATTTCAATTGATTGGAAGAAATCTTTGGCCACATTAAGGAGCTTTCTTTATTTGTAAAGATAAATTGAAATTCATCATTGAGGATATACAAAGGATCTTCTAAGTCTAAGATACATTTTATGGTTTCTAGAACAGAAAGGGTTCCTGCAAAGAAGTAATATGATATGAATTTTGAAAAATTCATTTCATAATTCTTGTGATCTTCTTGATTCCATCGATTTTGTTGTCATGGTCATTGTCATAAATTTCTCCTTCACTTATGAGTAATCACCTTATCTCTAACAATAAGGAGGTATTTCCGTCCATGAATAATGTGTGATTGTTTTGCTGTAATATCATTTATTACTTTTTTGAAGATATCACTTTCATATATGGGAACCTTTATTGAACCCCAGATGGGTATATTGGTTCTTCTGTTGTTATAATACAATTTGTATGTTTTCTTTTCAAGCTGGTTGAAGCTAATAAAAGCAAAGGGCAAGGAATTTACAAACATAACAAAATATCTCAAAAAGCTAAGTCACATTATTCTATATTTCGGTTGAATCTCCGTGTGAGAACATACCAGGCGTCACAAAAGTCTTCAAGTGATTCACCAAGTAATTAAGTTTCATTTCATCTATTGAAAAAGAAGCAAGGGCTGGTTCTACATTTTTTAGATTAACATTTTCGCTGAGGTAAATGATTAATTTAACACTTACTCTGTAGGTAATTCTTCAGTGAACTTCAAAGCAAGGCGATTAATCTCTGAAAGACCATAGGCATGGTGAAGAAAGAATAGTAGTAGCGAAAGAAACTATTTTTTTTGGATATTGGGTATGTATATATTTAATATTAAACATGGATTATGTAAGATTATAACATAAAAACCTTGAACCAAGCACAAGAAGGTTAGTGTGTAGTCATGTACAATGATAATTGTTAAACAAACCATCACTCTCAAAAAAATTTCTTTTTTATTATAAATAAACCAATATTCGTTAAATTTTTTATATAACGCGATTAAATGTGATTACATAATTTCCTTTTTTGGACAGTGAGAATTTGACAAGATTATACTTGTCGTCGGAATTCCATAATTACGGCAAATTCGGCATTACGTATAAGCCGTAAATGATTTTTGACATGAGACTTCAAAGTCATAAAAGTCGTAAACCGTAAAACCGTAAAACCGTGATGCCGTAATGCCGTAATGCCGTAAATGCCGTAAATGCCGTAAATGCTATAAATGCTATAAATACCATAAATTCTGTAAATCCTAATACTGTAACACCTAATACCAACATAGAAAAATTTTCCCATGAACCTTTAATAATATTAAATGTCTTTTTTATCAATTCAATTAAACATAACATAAACATACTAATGTAGGTTTTAAACAACAGTGAGTGATAATAAATATTTATAGAAATAGTTATATTATAGAAGTGATAAGTTTTTTCTTAACAAAATATTTTTCAATTATTAAAAGGAAAAAATGAGTTCTATAAGTTCTGTCAGGTCGGGCATGTCAAGTAATCATCAAAGCAATGGTCAAAAGGAGGTCGTAAATAATCTTTTAACAAAGAAAGTAACAAAATTTTCTAGCAATCACTCCACAATTTTGGCACATTTCCGAATAATCTGTAATGTAAAATAATAATTTTACATTACACGGGAAGTCAATAAATAAATCGGCAAATAAAATCGGAAAAATTGATAAGTATTCAAAACCAGTTCAATTTCATATTTTTATTCAGTCAGCAATAAAATAATTGACTCACGGAAAATATCTCAAACAACGGATAAATAAATATTAATATACTAACATTCTAAAATGTAACAGACCTTTAACTCTTAGATTTAATTTGAACGAAGGAATTTAAATCATTGGATTACTTTAGAAATAACTTGAAAATAATTCTACGCAGTAATACATTTAATTAGAATAAATTAGAATTTCAAAGAAATCGGAGAACTAGATGATAGAACCTTTAACATGTATAAATAACGTTGTAATTTTCTTAACTTCATATATCATTCATCATCATCTTTAATCAATTAATTAATAATAGTCGTTTACTGCCTTGACCTTGTTGTCTTCGAATATTATATTTTCCTAATGATAATAGATCTATCTCTAACAATTAATACATACTAATTCCGTGCTTAACCATATTCTCTCATTTTATATTCGACACTATATTATTATTATTTAACTCTCTTACCAGGGGGACGCCTTTTATAAGTATATTTGTATATATTACTTTTAATTTTATTTTCTTTATTTTTATTTAGCTTAGGCCAAAGCCCAAGACCTAGCTAGGTGCGGCCAGTAAGGAAACTGAGCCTAAATACACAACAGACGTGACCAAACAACTGGGACTTAAGCATAAAGTATAACAGAACAAAGCCCGATGTATCGCGGTTAAGCAATAAGAAAGCCTAAAGAACCAAGGCGGATATTTAGGATTATAAATATCTTAGAGATGTGCGGCTCAGGCAGATAACAAAGAACTGCTGAGAAAACGTTACCGGACGGGGAAGTAAAAATCGCCCCCACATAGATTAATAGACCAAGCGCTATTAATATCAAACCTTGTCACAGCGGATGAACGGGACATATAAGAAAATTTTATTTAAAATCCGTTGTGGTAAGATTACTAATCTTGCCACAACGGATTTTTATATGTGAAGCAAGAATTTTAAAAATCCACTATGACAAGAGAGTAAGCTACCAAGGGGTACTCGGCCACAGCTGTATAAATAAAACACCATCATAAGTAAAATATTGAGATTCACTGTGAGGTGCGGATTTCGATCTCACAGTAATAAGGAGACATTGATGGTACAAGAAAAATATTTACACAGGTCTATTTGTTAACATTTATTTATTAAAGTGCAAGTGCAATGTGATATTATATCCTTTCATCATGAATTGAACAAAATTTATTATATAAATAAATAAATAGCTATATATCAACTACCAATAAATATCATCATTATTATTGCACTTTTGAAACATAAAGATCAATTCCAGGTTCAGGTCTAGTAATAACACCAAATTTCTTTTTGACCTGGAAACCTTCAACTTCCCTAAATTTAAATTTTCTTATCAAAGAAGATAAAATAATCTTGAATTCAGTTGTGGCTAATTTAGAACCAATACAGGATCTAGGACCTGTCAAAAATGGTAAATATGTATAATTATTTATTTCTGATGTTAAATTTGGATCTAACCATCTTGATGGTTCAAATTTGTCATGATTTTCTCCCCAAATTTTTGAATCATGTTGAGCTGAATATATTGATACTACAATTGGTGTTTTCTATTGATTAATTAAATGATATATACAAGAAGCAGAAAGAAAAAAAATTAAGTATAGATGTTATATATTTATAAATCAATAGATGTTAAAATTGAAATTTTAATACTTTTGGAATAAAATATCCATCAATTGTTGTATCAGTTTCACTATTTCTTGCTACTGCTGGTACTGATATAAATAATAATATGGTATTAGT